GTGATTTATTGGAGTTGCCAAACCACATAATCGCCACGGTTTTTCCTTGGTCCATCTCCGCCGAGAAAGAAAACACCAGGAGGCCTTTTACTAAGCACACAATTTTTACAGTCCACAACATAAGGAGCACCGATATTAAAGTTCTGCACACACGGATATTTTGTTAAACTGCAATTTCAAAGCGGAGCATCTGTAGCGACTGAGATAGATTCCTAGACATCACGAGCAATTTGCTGATACCACACACACCACAGCTTAATTTACATCCGTTAACTCAGGATAATAAAAGGTACGTGGCTGGCATTTCGTGCACATAAAATATTTACATATATATCAGTGAATTTGCGTTAAAATATAAAAAGTCGCTCACATATAATCGTTGCTCCAAGAGTTAACCGCGAGTGGTTTTGTGTCAGTGATTTTTGTAAAAAAAAAAAAAAAAAAAATCACAATACGTGACAATATCGGCAAAAATTAGTACACGCGACGGCCATTTTAAGAAAAAACTCACTTCACGTTGTTGGTGTTAAAATTTGATAAAAGTTGAACCGCAGCACATATTAAAATTTTATTGGTTCGAAATTCGCACAGTTTCAATTTAATAACTTATTGCACATACTTTCATATCTTCCTCAATATTGGTGCTGCAAGTAGGTTCAATTTGCTTAGTCACAAACACTAACAACACTGCACGGGGTGGTCTTAACCTCACTTTGGCTTGCAATTTTGTGCTAATACACACTAAATTCACTCGTACGACCGATATTTCACATCCACAAAACCACTTTTCGCGTGTGACACAGAATTTTCCAATAGATTCAATTATTAGCACTGTTTATAATTGCTTCGATTTAAATATTAATTATATCTTGCTGTGTTGGGTGGCGAGCAAATTACATATATTACCTGTAAGCGTAAGAGATTAATATTCGTACACATACATACACATATACAGGGCAAGTTTATATATCTGAGATAATAAATAAAACGTGTGGTACGGAATTAAAATTCCACTTAAATTCTGTGTAAAGCTTTATTGGATTGTGGTGTGGCTAGGTTTTTGCATAGTATTCGCTAAACAGCTGTCAGAATCCTTTTCCTCAAAGCGTTCTTCTAATTATATCAAGCTATGGATAAGTTTATTCGTCTGGCAGACGCTGTGACAGAATTTGAGGCCGACTACAACGACACGGCCCAAACTGATCACACCAAATACACTCTTGCCATTCAACAAGAGGAGTTGAAAACGTTATGGAAGAAAGCGAAGGCAGCATATGAGGAATTAGTAAACTCTGATACGTTAGATGCTAAAGCAGTATCTGCTGTGAAACCAAAATATAAAAGCTCGTACGCTGTATATTTGCGATGCATGTCGAACATGGCAGATCTGCATGCAAAGCTCGTTAAGAGCGAAAAAGACATAGAAGGTACGTCTGTCCAAGAACACAACATTCACCTTCCTCCGTGCGATACGGAAGTGTTCAAAGGCGACTACCTCTCTTGGCCAACATTCCGAGATATGTTTACGGCCATATATATATTAAATAAGCGCCTCACTCCAGTTGAAAAGTTGTTCCATCTGAACCAAAAAACACTGGGTGAGGCCAAAGATATAGTGAGGAAGTGTCCTCTCACTAACGAAGGATTTGCCACAGCGTGGAAAAACCTAACAGATAGGTACGAGAATAAACGCATTCTCGTAAATTCCCAGTTACAAATTCTTTTTAATTTAAAGGCAATAGAGAACGAGTGCGGCGTCTCGATTAAGAAATTACAGCGAGATATAAATAATTGCATCTCATCACTAAAAAGCCATAAAATTGATATATCGAACTGGGATGCAATATTTACTTATCTTTGCTCAACGAAATTGCCAGAAAGTACCTTGGCATTGTGGGAACAAACAATCGAAGACAAGACGGAGATATCGAAGTGGGAGGATATGGACAAATTTCTGTCCAACAGATTCCAAACACTGGAAACCGTCTCGGGTATAACGGGTACTAAACTTACAAAAATTCCCAAGCCCCATAATAGTAGGCATACTAGTGAAACTCCGCAAAAAAGACTTGGTGCCTTCCAAGCAAGTGTAGCTAAAACGACATGCAAATTCTGTAAAAGCAAGGACCACAAGTTATCAAAGTGCGAAAGATTCATCAATTTAACGACGGTCGATAGAATCGCCTTCATTAAGTCGAACCATGGTTGCTTGAACTGCTTATCCAATGGACATACTGTGTCCAGGTGTACATGCTCATTTAATTGCAGCACTTGTCACCAACGACATCACACGCTCCTTCATATTCAAGCAGTTCAGCCAAAAGCAACTATGCACCAAAGGCAACAAACATATGCATCAAAAGACACAGATAACATAGCGTCCACTTCGGCACAGGCTCAAGCAATGCGCGACGCTGCAAGTGCAAAAAAGAACTCAGTGAACAATGTCACGTCTTGTTTCGCTAATACTAACAAAGGCGTATTGCTGGGAACAGCAAGAGTTCATATTTTTTATAACAATACAAATTTCTCAGCTCGAGCATTAATAGATTCAGGTTCTGAGTGCTCTTTCATAACGGAAAGACTCAAACGTAGAATCAACTTGCCTTCTAAGAGAATGCATGCACAGGTATCTGGTATCAATAACACCATTTCAGCGCAGGTAAAGGAAGCATGCCTCATTCAATTGAGATCTCCAATTGATCCTCTAATAAACATCAACACAACCGTGCTGGTGTTGCCTCAATTAACCGGAAATCTTCCGACATGCCAAATTAATGCGATGACTAGCCAAGCTTTCCCGGATCTGGAATTAGCAGACAAGAGATTTTTTATTAATGAACAAGTTGATCTAGTCTTAGGCGGCGACATTTACGCCCAAATAATGTTGAGCGGAATCCGAAAAAACGTTTTAGGTACGCTTCTGGCGCAGGAGACTGTATTCGGCTGGATACTAACCGGTCAAACTGACACGGTTACGCCAGCCAACAAATGGGTATCATTTTTTAACGAGGTCAGCCTCGATAAGCGTCTCGCGTCTTTCTGGGAAGTGGAAGACATTCCGAAAAACCAATCCTACAATAAAGATGAAGTTTATTGTGAAGAACTTTATAAAAGCACAACAAAGAGAAACGGTGAAGGCAAATACATAGTGTCACTGCCATTTAAGCAGGACTTCCCAAAAGACGTCAAATTAGGACCCTCTCTAAAAATCGCTTGCTCACAGTTCTTTAGGATAGAAAAGCGGTTGGCGAGAGACCCACCTCTGCAAACAGAATATAACCGAGTTTTGTCAGAATACGAGGCATTAGGTCATATGACGCGAATCGACGTGAATGTTCCTGCAGATGCATGTGACAATTACTTCCTGCCTCATCACGCTGTCAGGAAGGACGAAAGCACTACCACCAAAGTAAGGGTAGTTTTTAACGCATCGTGTCCGACATCAAATGGGGTGAGCCTTAATGAGGTGCTCTATCCTGGTCCAGTACTTCAAAATGATTTGCCAACATTAATACTTCGGTGGAGATTATTTAAGTATGTTTTTAACAGCGACATCGAAAAGATGTATCGCCAAATCTTACTAAACCCTGACCAAACAAAGTATCAGCGCATAATTTTTCGTACTAATCCATCCGAACCCATAAGACTTTATGAACTCAATACTGTGACCTTCGGTGTCAATTGCGCACCTTACCTGGCGATTAGAACTCTGCTTCGGTTAGCGAACGACGTGGAAGATTCGCACCCCATTGCATCGGACATCTTAAGAAAATACATGTACGTTGATGATGTTTTAGCGGGCGGTCATACTATCGAATCTGCTATTAAAGCTAAGGACGAAATCACAACAGTATTGCAATCGGCGGGTTTTCCTTTGAGAAAATGGACTTCTAACTGCGACGAAATATTATATGGTATCCCAAAATCCTATCTGCCGAAAGAAGATTTCTTGGACTTCGAAGACACCAGCACGGTTAAGGCTCTGGGCATCAGGTGGAACGCCCATTCTGATAAATTTTACTTCACTGCCAAGCCAATTGAGAATCAGGATAGACATACAAAAAGGGCAATACTATCGGCTATTGCCAAATTATTCGATCCGTTAGGGTGGCTCGCACCGTTTGTAATTACCGCGAAAATTTTAATGCAAAATATTTGGTTAGAAGGAACCGGGTGGGACGAAATTGTATCAACCTCCACATTAGACCGTTGGGAAAGCTTTAAGGAAAGCTACAGCCACATCGAAAGGATTCGTATCCCTCGTTGGATATATTTTTCACCGACAGCCAAAGTCGAAATACACGGGTTTTGCGACGCCTCAGAAAAGGCATATGCGGCTGCTCTCTATATTCGCGTCGAAAAGGATGATAAGGTCTTCACCAATCTGCTACTATCTAAAACTAAAGTTGCACCAGTTAAAACGATCTCGCTTCCCCGCTTAGAACTTTGTGGGGCGGTTTTACTTTCAGAAATCCTCGATTCGATTACCAATAACCTGAATTTGGGGCATATTACGACAAAAATGTGGACGGATTCTACCATTGTCCTGGCCTGGATTCGGAAACCACCCTGCTCATGGTCAACCTTTGTTGCACATCGAGTAACCAAAATAATAGAAAAAGTCGGAAAAGAAAATTGGTGTCATGTAGATTCAACCTCAAATCCGTCAGACTTAGCCAGTAGAGGACTTCCGGCGCAAGAATTAGTAAACAATTCGCTGTGGTGGGAGGGCCCTTCTTGGCTGCAAGAAGATCACTCCAAATGGCCCACTCAAGAAAAGGACTATAATACAGTGATAGAAGAGAAGAGGGTGCAGGTACACGCAACAACAACGTTAGATATCCACGATGATATTATTGAAAGATTTTCTGATTTCTCGAGAGCTTTGAGAGTTTTATCTTATGTAATGAGATTCTCTCAAAGAACTCACCCAAAAACCAGAGCGTCATTTCAGGCGAAATCTTGTTCAATTTCAGCTGATGAAATTAAAGCAACGATAAGCCGCTTGATAACCATCTGCCAGAAGAAGCATTATTGGGAGGAGTATTCAGCATTAAAATCTCAGAAATTAATAGGTACAAAAAGTGAAGTACTACCCCTTAACCCTTTCATCGATAAAGACGGTATAATGAGGACAGGTGGCCGCCTAGGAGCATCTAGTGATCTCGCCTATAACGAGCGTCACCCAGTTATCCTGCCATATAACTGCCACCTGTCTCGTCTGATAGTCCAGTTCGTCCACAAGGTCTCGCTGCATGGCGAAAATCAGCTCATGCTGCGCCTAATCCGAACACAGTACTGGATACCGAGGGTCAAGAACATGATTAGGTCTACAATTCATAATTGCAAGGTCTGTACGATCTATCGAAAGCGTGCGCAAACACAGCTAATGGGAATTCTTCCCAGAGAAAGAACTACATTTTCACGACCGTTTACAAATTCTGGAGTCGACTTTGCGGGACCTTTTGACATAAAGAGTTATAGTGGACGAGGCTGTCGTATGTCCAAAGGATATGTCTGCCTGTTTGTGTGTTTCGCAACTAAGGCAATCCATTTGGAAGCTACCTCTGATCTAAGTACGCAATCTTTCTTAGCAGCATTTGCCAGGTTCGTTTCAAGAAGGGGATGTCCAAGAAACATCTACTCCGACAATGGTACCAACTTTGTCGGAGCCTCTAGAGCTCTGAGAGCGGAATTAAAAGCCTTTTTGATGGATGCACGCAATAGCACCTTAGCCAAATATCCCCACCAAATGCTTTCGTGGCACTTCATTCCCGCCTCAGCTCCTCACATGGGCGGGCTATGGGAAGCGGGGGTTAAAAGTTTTAAAAACCACTTTACGAAAATCGCATCAAACCATAAATATACGTTTGAAGAGTTTACGACTCTTCTATGCCGAATTGAATCCTGTCTGAATTCTCGACCATTAAGCCCCACATCAAACCAGCCATCAGACTTGGAGCCACTTACTCCAGGCCACTTTTTGGTTGGTGGACACCTATTAGCTCCACCAGAAATTGATGCTAACGAAAATACGGCTACGATTGTAAATCGTTGGCAAAGATTAAAAGCTTTACATCACACGTTTTGTAGCCGATGGAAATCAGAATACCTATCTGAACTCCAGAAGCGCAACAAATGGAGGCATCCTCAAGCCAACATCAAAATAGGAGACCTCGTCATTATTAAGGAAGACAACTTACCACCAAATGACTGGAGACTCGGAAGAGTCTTAAAATTATACCCAGGTTCGGATACTCGGGTACGAGTGGTGGACATCATGACCGAACGTGGCCAGGTAACAAGGCCACTAGTAAAATTGGTCTTACTACCACCCTGCAGTGAAGCAAACGAAGAACCAACCGAGTCTTCGTAAATACATTCTCTGTATTTGCGACTTCAACGTGAAAGCAACCAGGTATTCCACTCCATAGGTACCTGGAATACTCCACGACTGAAGCCGCAAATGTTAAATTTCATCAATCAACTTCACTTGCATTAGAAATAGAACTCTTACATGTTTTAAGTGGAAGCATACCTAACACTCATTTTGCATAGAAGATTGTCTTAACAATCTCCGAATATATGCATGCTTGACGACCATACAATAAGATTCCGTCGCAGAATAACTGAGATACACAGAACCGGAGCAAGGCATTATCTGAACAAATTTTAGCCGTAAATAATTCGCAAGCAATCCATTAACGAATGAATTATTCATCAATAAATTCCTTCTGAATAATTTAGTCGTGATTTGTTTTCAATTTGAAATGTTGTAAAACAAATGTTTTTCTATAATCTCTGATAGGCAGTTAGTTGAGTGGTTTTACTTTATCACGAATATGTATTTTATGTTCATTATTCAAATAACGAATAAAATAACACTCACCATTAGAATAACCATAATAATTTTTCTTTGAGCAAACTAAATTATCTATTATTTACGAATAACGATAAATTTTACCCAGCTCTACATACATATATATCTATATATAAACAATTTTATCATCGATTATGAATTACCGACTGCAATATACATTTTTTTCTTGAATTTTGAATAAAAATACATTTGTGCACTGAAATGTCAAGCCATGTCCTGTTTATTTAATTTCTTATCTCCCACAGACTGAAAAATCCGAAACGAGCATCAATGGTGATAACTACGTTTCCAGCTCTACGAAAATCAACATTTATTTTTTCAATTCCTTTAATTATTCGTAGGAGTGGTGGCTGACTTGATTTACTGCTGTTGCATATAGCAAGGAGGGCCGGCATGTTTAGGCCTAAAGGCTAAACCAAATACTTAAAAGGGTGAACCACCCTAACGTTGAATTTTATAAATGTGCAACGGATGCACATATACATAGACAGCCTGATTAAGGCGAAGCCGTTAGCATGTACAAATATTAGTTTACCGCTTGAATATCAAACTTCGTTAAGTTTCCCCTCCAAACAGTTTGCTGCTTGGAGGTCAAACTTAACTTCGCAAGAATTAGCGCGGGCACTTCTAGCGAGAACTCAAGGATCAACGGACGTCTGCCAGCCATCACTCCTGCGCACTTATCAAGGTAACATTGTAACCTAGCTTTAACCTTAGTACATGTATATTGAATAAACCGCCACATACCAATTTATATGAAGTATACTAAAACTTGGCCTTTTTATTTTTTCCTGTTTTTCAAATAAAAACACTGGTGATTTATTGGAGTTGCCAAACCACATAATCGCCACGGTTTTTCCTCAAACTCAAATAGAAGAAATCAATCAACAAGTTCAAAAATTAATTGATGACGATATCATTGAACATTCAACCAGTCCATACAACTCACCATTACTTGTTGTACCAAAGAAAAGCGATGGAGACAAAGAGAAATGGCGACTTGTAGTAGATTTTAGGCAATTAAATAAGAAAATAGTTAATGATAAATTTCCACTTTCAAGAATTGAAGATGTATTAGATAAATTAGGAAGAGCAAAATATTTTTCAACTCTAGATATGACAAGTTCGTTTCATCAAATTAACTTAGATAAAGAATCAAGAAAAGCAACTGCATTTTCTACATCAACCGGTCACTATCAGTTTAAGCGATTACCTTTTGGTCTTAAAATTTCATCAAATAGTTTCCAACGTATGCTAACAATAGCACTTTCAGGTCTCGATAGTAAAGCATTTTTATATGTAGACGACATCATCATTTTTGCATGTAGTTTGAAACATCACAATGACAATCTGAGACAGGTCTTTGAACGTTTATCAAAATACAGTTTAAAATTAAACGCTAAAAAATGTGTATTTTTAAAGTCAGAAGTTGTTTATTTAGGTCATCTAATAACAGAAGATGGTATTAAAACAGACCCAGCAAAACACAAAGCAATTCAAAATTATCCAATACCTAAAGATGCTGACGAGGTAAAACGATTTGTAGCTTTTTGTAATTACTATAGACGTTTCATAAAAAATTTCGCTGAATTAACAAAATGTCTGAATGATCAAACGAAGAAAGGAAAAATATATGAATGGACAGACGAATGTCAACAAACTTTTGATATATTAAGACAAAAATTAATTAGTTCACCAATATTACAATATCCCGATTTTGAAAAACCTTTCATTTTAACGACAGATGCTTCAAATTATGCTTTAGGTGCAATCTTATCACTGTGAGAAATAGGAACTGATTTGCCAATAACCTATGCTAGCAGAACTTTGAATAAACACGAAATTAATAAACCCGTGATAGAAAAAGAACTACTTACATATACATTGGGGAATTGAATTCTTTAGGCCATATTTACATGGTAGAAGATTTATAGTAGTAACTGACCACAGACCTCTTGTTTCACTTTTTACACATAAAAACCCTTCTTCTAAATTAACTAGAGTACGGATTGATTTATCAGACTATGATTTTGAAATTGTATACAAAAAAGGAAAAATTAATACAAATGCTGATGCATTATCTAGAATTAAAATAGATTCTGATATGCTAAAAACATGATTCCAATAGAAGACGATTATACCAAACCAACAAAAATCTTAGCAATTACGCGTGGAATGAACGCAAAGGGTAAAACAACTGAAAACAACTCAGATGAGAAAGACATATCCCAACAACAAAAATATACGAACATATGGGAATGTACTTCATTACCAGATATTAAAAATGTGCACAAATTAAAATTTAATGTTAATACCGGTATAAATACAAAAATAAATAATGATAAATTGAACGGTACCATTGAATGTATAAATAATAGCTATCATATGAATATTAGTGATGATCTTGCAAAATACGTTTTGTTTCTAGAGAAGCTGATAATCTATATGCATAAGCAGAATATTAAAGATCTCGCATTAGCTAGCGACGATGAAATTTTTAAACTGATATCAGTAGAATATATGAAAAGAATTTATGATGAGGTATACCAAAGATTAATAAAATCTAAAAAATATAAAAACTTTAACTTGAATATCATCTTGTATAAACCCTTGCAGTACATAAAAAATAAAAAACTACAAAATAAATTGATTGAAGAATTCCACAACTCACCATTATCAGGACACTTAGGCATTCGAAAGACTGTACTAAGACTCAAACAAAGATACGTTTGGAAAAATATGTGAAAAATGGTTAGAGATTACGTTGTAAATTGCGATAAATGTTTGAGAAATAAGCAAACGAAACATATTAAAGAAGAAATGAATATCACCAACACTCCAAGTACTAGTTTCGAAATAATAGAAATAGATACAGTAGGACCATTAAGAATTTCTAATAATTATAGGTATATATTAACAATGCAGTGCGAGTTAAC